TAACACACTTTTGAGTGTAAATTTTTTTTCTGTGTGCGCCTCGCCGTCGCGACTCCGCCTCCTGTGCCACCGAACCAGTGCAACGCGCCAGACCGCAGTGCGTTGCCTCCAGCCGCTTTCCGCGGAGCAGCAGCCTCTGTCCGCCGCCACATCACTTTCCAAAAATTGTACACTCACTAGCTCGCACAGCGGTAAGCGTAATGAAAGGCACTTCGTAGGTTTTGTTACCATGAACTTCATACTCATGTATTCCGGGACTCCACGTTCCTTAAGAACCATACATGCTGCATACACAGTCATATACTTGAAGCTCGCGAAGAATACACGAAATTAGAGGACCTTTCTGCATACTTCAATTTCTCTTGATAACACTGACAGTTAAAGGGGTCGTGAAACGTCCTCCAAAAATTTTCAACTACGTGTGCATTCAGAATCCTGGCCGTTCAGTTAATACTAAACCTCAATTCGTTTGATTTCTGGGTTCGCGGAATTGCTAAAAAAGCGCCATTTCGGTTTTCCCGCTCACGTTCCTGTCAACTGCGCAGTTGACGTCATTTTAAGACAGCCAATGAAAAGTCTCTGTCTTCGACAAAACATGGCGACGCTGTGATGTTTTTGAGTTTGAGTTGACCGTGGTTTGTAGCATCACACTGTTTAGATTGTGGTGCCGGCAACACCATAACATCATGGACACTCAGTGTGCGATGGCTGACCTCCCTGAACTACAGCGTCGTCTGCTCGAGCGGAGTCAGCTCTTGGGCTTTGAGCCGTACGCCGACGCACCCATGCGGGTGCGAGACCGGCCATCGTCAGCGCAAGACAGCGGCAGTGGCGACGATGGTGAAGAAGCCTGCACCGTGGAGGCACCCGTATCGAGACCACGTGGAAAAACCTCCGCTAGCAGAAGCCCCGACCATGACCCTCCTGAACCCGATCGGCTCGGAAATACGCGCTGGTATGTTAAAGTCTTGAAGTCTATGTTGCGCAGCAGGCCAGTGTGTGCAATCGCTAATCTAACTACTCTAATAGATGTACCTGCGGACATTGCGTGCCGATGCCCACCCCTCTTGAGAGCATCTGCTGCCGCGAAATCTAGGCAGCGATTCGAAGGCAGCCGTCTGGGTGCATTACAGAGCACCCGTATTTTCACACGTTGTGCCTTGACGAGGTAGTGCTCGGCGTAGTCCTTCAAATGTTTGAAGACCATGGGCTGCTAGTCGAAGAAACAGGGTAAGCAGCTTGCACAAAGGCAGCACAGCATGAAGAAATGACCGCCTGATATCGCTCTTTTTTCAAATGATGCTGTGCGAGAGTGTGTTCATGAAAGTTTTAAATTCTTTGTGATCGCAAACATCGTGGCTTAGGGAAATGAGTCGATGAGTTAGCGTCAGGCCTCACGAAGTGCCGACTGCGAAACACGTCAGTGTGAGCAAGATAATAAGTCTTGATCGTTACCCCTCCCACCCCCTCCCCCCACACGCACACTTTATTTATTTTTATGTCATAAGACGCGGCCGAACAGTTTGTTTGACCACCCAAGTTTACTGCTCGGTCTAATTCACGACTAAACGCCAAAAGGAAATGTGTCTCGTGGCATGTGTGAATTTCCGATCGCGGTACGGAAGGGCACTCACTCACTTGACATATCCCAACGGCCTGATAATATTGAAAATAATTAGGCCGCATTCCGGACAACTTACCTTGATTTATTGTTCATCCACCGCCAATAGAGCAGCACTTGGGAAGAAGATGCAATAGTAGATGTCAAAACAACGGGCACAAGCTGTCTTGTTTCACAGGAGGCTTTACATAAAGCTGAATACAGTAAACACGCATACTTTTCAAGTCTATAATAATCACCATTCCAACACTCATTGTGTTCTTTGCCAAATATATGTTATGAACCCGCATTAGGTTGATTGATTGATATGTGGAGTTTAACGTCCCCAAACCACTATATGATTATGAGAGACGCCGTAGTGGAGGGCTCTGGAAATTTAGACCACCTGGGACTCTTTAACGTGCACCCAAATCTGAGCACACGGGCCTACAACATTTCCGCCTCCATCGGAAATAAAACCCGCATTAGGTGATAATGCATAAGGGTTGTAGGCATAATTTGATATTATTTCTACAACGTAATCTATAATTCGTTTCCATAAAGACGCCTACTTTCTGATCTCATTGCAGCCACCCATCATTTGTAGGATAAGCACTTTTCCTCTTAAATGCATTATATTGAGTGTGTAACGTGTAATCGAGGCTGCATGTGAAGCAGTATGTCGGCAGGAAAAAAATGTAAGCTATAGAGTGGGTTAAAAAGCAAATTTAGAGCATAGTTACACTCGTATCACTCTGGGATAGCGCCTAATCGAATAAGCTTTGCAATTTTAGAAGCAGGTTATTTTTTTTATTAAACTATAGTAAATAAATGTGATGAATGCTTAGCACAGGCGAAGCTAGAAGTGCTGTTCTATTGAGATGATCATGAGCATATGTAGGCCTCTAATTGACAGGCCTAGGACAACATTCAAAGAATCGCCAAGTCACGTTGCCGGACAACTTGGTTTAGATTCATAATTCGTATCATGTATCCACCGCGACAGGGATAAATAAGAGGAAGACACACACATGACGCTAACTTGCAATTAGTGGTTTTATTGCAATCACACATGCGATTTATGCAATAACAGTACATCCAAAACGGTATTATTTTCCAATAAAATTGTTGAGGGTCCTACAGGCGAAAGCTGCACTATACAGCTGGAATTTGCTTGAAGACACTTATGTGGTGGCAGTACCACTAAAACCAGCATATATCCATATGTTCACTATATACCTACGTACACTATTTCAGTGCAACTGAGAAAATAGAACATCCTGAATAACACACAGAAACACACAGCATCTTGAACAAAATATTGATCAAATGCATTTGCACATCAGAAACAGTGGTAGTGATAACACTAAAAAAGCACTAAAATAAACATAGTTGATATACATTGGTATTATATGTACAATGTTCATTAAAACACTTGAGCGTCAATAGAAAGAGAACAACAATCTAAAAATGCAAGAAGTGTTTCGTTTTACTTATGCCTTCATTCAGATTTGCAAAACTGCACTCGAATTTCTTTGCATGTCTAATTAGTTGCAGTGTTTTCCTTTCTAATATTTATTTAGTAATGAGGGTAGGCTAAGCCTCAGTGACTGCATAAGATAATTGGTGCGCTTGTATGGTATGAACCACATATCTTGGCTATGAGTGCATGAGGGACTTTTTCTCATTAAAAATGGTTTGAGAGTGATGTAGGACAAAATTGATGGAGAAATTTGTGTTTGTGAGGAACAGTCACCCGTATTATATTACGTTTTGAAAATTTGGTACAGTGGGATGGAAATACGGTACGTTCACTATTTCTTGAAGCACACAATTTAGAACTTGAAGTGCGTGAATATTACCTTTTGTGGTAGTCATGATTCAGTAGGGTTCAGCTACATGCAACGAATTACAGGCAATGAATTGCCAAAGTTACTTTTCTTGCACCATTCCAATGACAGGCTTACGACGACAGCTCACAAATTACCAAAATATCTTTTTCTCTTAGTGCACTGTATGAATCGAGTTTCTCTTTGACCTTCCTTTTCCCAGAAGGGTGTGCTATATTACGCTTAAGGAGCATACTACCACATTGGCACGTGCAGATGAATGGCACCAAGAACAAAGTTTCATTGCTGCTTCCTGATGTGCCATTTATACAACCTTTCTTATGCAGAAGGTTCACTGTTCCCATCAGGTTTGTGTGCCTGAAAACTGTTGCCTTTAGGCATTAGACTGGCCACAACAGCTGATTGCAGTCATGCTACAGGTTTTCTTTGTCTTGTCATCTTTCCAACCATCCTCACAATGTTGTGCTACTGAGTTAACTGCACTGCTAAGAAAAAATTCATGGTGGATCAATTCATTTGGCTTGGAATTGAGGTTTGAGGTAGACAAAGAGATGCCTGTAATGCTACTGAACTTCAACTCAGCTTCACGTCATTTCATTCTTCAGTTTCTCTGGCCTAAAGGGTCACTTTGTACAGTAGGTATGCTGGAAGGAAATGATGACTGTTGCTATTCCTTTCTTGTTGACAGGCCGTACCGCTACATTGGCTACAGACAGCTTGCACACTGGCTTTGGGGACGCCGGGGCAGATATCATCGGAAGGTCCTCCCTGCTTGTGCTGTACACATAATAAGAGAGAGATTTCCATCTGAAACTTTTACTGGTTTCCAGTATGCACACAATTAATTAGCCTTTTCAATAAAAAAATGGCAGTGAAGTCTAATGACTTGAATTTTGTAAAGGTCTACTGCAAATAAAAAGATTTCAAAAAGTAACATAGCTAAGAAACCACGATTACTCAAAATGAAAATTGCATCACTTCACTTTATTTATTTGTTTTTTGTATGCACCTTTATATTGTTTTTTAATAGGCTGATACTGCCTATGAAGCATATGTTTGAACAATAAATATATTTGTGCACTCTGTCCACACCTGTTTCTTAGACAGATTGAGTCCCTCTGGTTTTCTTTTTTCGGCTGACTAAGCAACAATATCAGAATAATAAATGTGCAGCTTCATGCACTATCACGACGGAGAGAAATGTAAGGACAAAATCATGCTCTTGCTATGCAATAGCACCAGCAGGAATGTGATTCTAGTGCTATAGTAATGCCAGCTAGATTCACCTAGCAGTAGTCGAGGCATGCCATAATTTGAATGGATCGAAAGCCATGCTTTCTGCTATTCTCATTTCTATTGCCGTATACCAGTTTGTATGTAGAAGTGAACAGAGCAACAAACCATTATAAAAATGTTCTGCTCCAGACAAACTGCCAGGTAACGTCTGTGTTTCTTACGGTACTGTAGATGAACCTGTCACTCCCTTATAAATTTTATGAAGTAAATGACTGACACTACTACAGCAATGTAATGGATAATGCTTACCTATGCTAGAGTGTGGTGCTTCCCGTGCCAGTGGCAAATCTAGATCTTCTTGCTGCCACAAGTTCATGTTTGAATGGCCTTGGAAAAGAATGGCTCATTGGTGGTGGAGCAGTTGATTGGTTTGCAGCAAAAGCTGCGTTAAATGATGGCCACTGTTCGCAGCAACGTTCAGTCTCCTTCAACAGCAGGTCAACATATTCTGGAATTGAATAGTGTTGCATGTAATATCACCCTCTTGTAATTTCATATATATAGCAGGCACTATCCAGACATGCATGACATAGTACTGAGGAGGTACAGCAAAGCCTCCTTTATTGATGACCATACACATCATGGGCATCAGCAGTATTTTGTCATGGAGGAGAGGAGAAGCAAGCGCTTGAGTAGCTTGGGGGGTAATATCAACCTCTTGTAATTTCCTATATATAGCAGGCACTATCCAGACATGCATGACATAGTACTGAGGAGGTACAGCAAAGCCTCCTTTATTGATGACCATACACACCATGGGCATCAGCAATATTTTGTCTTGGAGGAGGGAAGAAGCAAGTGCTTGAGTAGCTGGGGGGGGGGGGTAAGTGGAGGTATGGTTTGAGGGCGACAAGCGCCTCTTTTGCACTGCTCCTGCCGACGCGCACAATATACATCGATTGTGCAAACACAACATCTGCATAGGTATAAAGGTGTCTAACCAAAACGTTTCTAGCTTTGTTTCATCACAAAAGTTTTATTCGATTGCTGTTCCAGAACAAAAAAAGCTTTGCAAGGGTCGTAATATTTGTATCAAAAAATTTAAATTGTAATAGCAATAAATATACTGGATCTGTTGTATAGTTATCCTGACAGGAATAGAGAAAGTTTTTGCCACATTCTTAAGAGGAGCACAAGCAACAGCACCATGATTCCAAGTCGGCACAAACCAGTGTCCACATGTCACAGCAGGCTTTCTTATTAAAAGTGAATAAAGAATTTCGCTAGCAGGCTCAATGCTTTGCGTCAAGGAAGTAAGCATGGCCTCAGAAGCAGCCCATTATTGAGCATACTCTTATTGCAAGATCACTGTTGATACAAAACAAATTACTGCACTGACAATCCGCTCTCCATGCAAGCATGTGTCACAGGCACCTGAAAGCCCACTCAAGTTACCAGAAACATTGGATTGCCACTGCTCTTCGAACAATTTGAACAAGTTGTTACATGAAATACCTGCCTGAGATATGCACTAGTACTGTAATCTAAATAAGCATTGTTGCCCGTGGTGCATGACCTCGGTTGTTCTGGATTAGCAAGTTTCTACGTAGACCGAAAAATGATGAAAAAATTTGGGTTTCATTACTGAACAAAATGATGCACATTTCAGTTACCTTTTCATATCGAGAAAAAATCTTTTTTTCGTTTTCGTTCTATTACAGTGAGAATATTTTTATTGCTGTATTGTATGCTGCACAAATCTTGAAGCCTGTGCTGTAAAATACTAATTTATTAGCTTGATTCATAGGTCGGTGAACCTGCTCACATGTGGACACACTTAGACTCGGATTGAGCCATAAGTATGAGTTAGTGTCTGAGTGATTCCAGTGGAAAAATGTTTCCATGAATTTGAGTCCGTATGCATTGCTGTTGTGGTTGTCCAGTCCTAGGCTACATCAACCTATTAGATTGCAGTGCGTCAGTTGGGTGGGCCTCTGAGAACAGTCATGTCAGATATAAGTATAACAAGGCACACTGTGCTTTTAAATTACAAATCACATGGGAGCACTGAGACTGAAAGTCATGCAGTTGTATGAAAGTACCTAGTTGTGCACAATTTCATTATAGGCACTATTGCTCATAGTCAACTTATTTGAAATTTTATGTATGCCCAAACTGCCTCTTGTCTGTTTCAAGTGACCTTAGATTTTCTTGAAGGGCCAGGTAGACTACTTACCATATGTAAGTTGGGCTTTCATGGGGCAAGCTACAGCCGTGCCTTTCCTTGCATTTGGGTGCTTAATTTTCTAGCACGATTGTTCTTTTGTTGTCACTGCTTGTCTGTTGCTTGAATTTTCATTAAAGTGCAGAACTGTCAGTTGCGTCCTGCATGAAAAAATAATTACATCAGCTCTTCAAATTCAGTTTTTCCTGATATTATTCACTACTCACTTTGCACGCATTCCATCAGATGAGAAGCATACAGATTTTGGTGCGAAGCCTATCAGCACACTATGAAAGGCCTTCAAGCTAAAGGTGTGTGTAGAAGGAGCCAGTTGCCGAATGTAATTCAGGCGACGAGGTGCCATAACAACATCGGCAAACTTCTTGTGTGCAGGCGTGCCTGTTTTGACAAAAGCAACTTCCTGGATAAGCATTTTTTAAATAGTGGTGACCGTTAGCATAATTTCACTTTTCTAGATAAACATAGCACCCATAATTGTTACTAAGATGGGTTAACAAAGAGTTGTGTAGTAAAGATGGACAACTCGCTGAATGCATGCAACCCATCTCCGGAAAAGCTTGCCATTTAAGCGCACCATCACCTGTACTTCATACACAAGAACATTAATGCAACTTAGAAAGCAAATTGAACTGAGTATAAATTGGCAAATAGCTGTAGTACTAACCAGGAACTAGCCATTGCCTCTCTCCCAGGTCACTATGGGCACAATGCGTGTACAGACCAGCATGCCCTGAGTGTATATTAGCAACATGCCGCTCCATGCTCTTCCACATGTCTGTAAGCAGCTCTGGATTGCCATCACTCATGGCTGCACACCAATGCAAATGATTGGTAGCTAGCTGAATCCACAGATCGTTTTTCCACAGCTGAATCCACAGGCCAGGTTTTTCTTTTTGATGCCTGGGACACATGTAATAAAATAATTCATAGTAGGTTAATGTCATGCATGATACAGAATGCTTAGCAAGGGAACTTCTATGTATAGCTGAGATAAAAAGGAACTTTTGACATGCTTATCCCATCAGCCTTCTAGATAACTTGAACGACGTTTGAGGTGGATCCATATTTTATATAGAACCTCTACAGAGCACTGCTCTAGTCCTGACTCAAGACTAACAGCTAGAACTTGAAACGCAAATGAAAAATGCTCCCCTCTCTTAACACCTCTTCAACTTTGGCACTTTCTTTCTCTGTGGCATTATTTGCTACATTGGTGTTTTTTTCCTCTGCTTCTCTTTGTTGATCTATTTGCTCCAAAAGTTTATTGTGCGAATGCACTGCCTTTCGCACATCATCATGAAGAAAGGTATCCCATCTGTAATGCGCATAAATCAGGCTGAGATAATTTCAGTGGATGTTACCTTTTGAGATGTGCCAAGCATCATAGAAGTGTGGGATGGTGGGCTCTTGTGTCCTCATATACTTCGTAACTTGCACATGCCGGTCTGTGGTCACCGATGTCACTCTAAGCCTTCATTTCTTCACCAGGTCTAGACACTTCACAAATGCATGTTTTTTCATAGAGGTGCTTGATTTCACATCTGCGCACTTTTGCAGAAAGAGAAAAACTGTTAGAGAACACATCAATCACATTAGAGTAGCTCTACGTTACCTCCCCGACTTGCACTCGCTCAAAGTGTAGAATTTTGTTGACCTCGGCGACATGAAGTGAATGTCATAAGTTTGGCAGAGAAATCAGGCGAGTCACAGCGTCCATCACCAGCCAGGTCGACACTGCAGCCGTGCAACTCTCGAAACAACTCGTCCTGTTGTTGATGCCAGATCTGGTGCAAAACAAAAAATTGAGTTAATACTACAATAAATGCAGAACATTACTGAAACAGTGCTTGTGTTCAATGACTTTAAAGAACATCTTTTAAGAACTATTCGTTCTTGAACACAAGGACAAAAACATTACGGTTCATAATGACAAAGATATTAATATGCTATCCAGAAATGAATAAACAAAACTGTTTTCCACTTGCACCAATACACACTTTCTCATACCTTGTATATCGCAGGAAGTAGATAAGCTCGCTGATAGTTAAAAAATGTCCTTGGCGTGAACACCTGCAGGTTGTTGTGTTCGAACATACGGAGCACTGTGGTGGGGCTGCTGCCGCTGAACAGTATCCCTGCCGACATCAGTACGTTGCCTGCTGGCTTGCCATTGATTAATGGCTGACTTTTCCATGAAACGACGTGATTGCTTGTACACACTGTTTGTACTTGTAGTAATGTGCCATACACCGAGCTTGCAGTTTTACAAGCGGCAAAGCATTTTCTGCATGTACTTAGCAGTTCCTTGATTGAACTTTCAAAAACAATAAACTTCGTTTCATTTTGTGGAGGGACGTCTTTAGTGGTGTCTTCATGTCTGAAACAACCAAAAAAATGTTTTGATCGCATTGTCACACTTTTTGCTAGTAAGTAGTGTTTTGAATACAGCACGGCTAGAGAGGGGTAAAATATGTAAGGGCAGACCAGTTCGTTGCACTTTCCTGTCAGCTATTTTTTTTTCTTGTAAGTAATGATAGTACAGATTTAGAAAGATAATTTTTGTCACATTGCTTTTGCATGAGCAGTAGCTTATGATACCGCATATTAAGAGAGTGTATTGGTGGATCAAGGACCACTCTTGCTTGTTTAATCTAAAGGGTAATCTGATTTATTCACACTATTATGCAATCACATACAGTGCACAATCTGTGACAGTGCAGAGAAAGTTGCAATCCTTACTGCAAGGACGTGTCATTACACGAAGGTATGTATTTAGAATCATTCATGGTATCCTCCTCCTCTTCTGAGTACGATAAATCAGATTGCACGTCTTCTGTGTTCAATGTATTAGACAGCATGTGTTCTATGTCCAATGTAGTCGATTGTACGTCTGCTGTGGCCAATGTATCAGATTGCACGGGACTGGACGATTGCGGTGGAAAAAATGAAATTGGTGACAGACATCGAGCTGTTGTGGGGCAAGCAGCAGTCGCAGTGGCTCTAACAGCATCGTCACAGGATGTTTTAATGAGCTTTGTCTGTACTTTCACATGTTTGCTTGAACGCATACACAAGTTCGCCTGCGTACCAGAAAGTGAAAAAAAAATTAAATAACATTGGTATAGTGCCAAAGGGTACAGGTTTTGGCAACTTTAATGCCAGTGTTGCCAGCACAGCATATTCTAGGTTTATTTTTTGTTCATGCATTCTTAGCGGGCATATCCTTATCAGTTATTCATGGGTACACACACCGGACTCAATATGGACTATACTCTTACTATCTGCCACTAAAATGCAATATGTCCTCCTCAGCTTCGAAAAATAATTTACAAAAAACTCCCTTACAGTTTTACTATATCGACCTCGCAACACGACTGCCACCTACAGAGTTTGTTCAGCATACACATATTTCAATGGAAAATGGCACACTAATAAATTTACCGTTCTTGTTCACATTATTAAATTTGAGTAAGTAGCATAAAAAATGGCCTATTGCTACAATAATTTCTAAGGTTCTCAGAAAAGCAGCACACCAATACTTCGAAAAAAAATTTTACATTGTGTTCACACATCACTGCCACTAGTCTGGCAAGCAACAGTGCAAGTAGTTGTGGTAGTCTGCGTGCAGTTCTCAAACCTTCGAGGGAGAATGTCGTAAGTCTGGCAAGCAACAGCACAAGTAGATTTGGAGGTATGCGTGCAATTTTCAACCATTTGTCGTGAAACTTGACTTTCTTCAGACATTGATGCATCGACCACATCTTGGGAATGGGGCTGTTCATAAAAAAAAAGTAAGAAAGCCAAGTTGTCAGGTGGCGAAAGTGACAAGCCCGAAACTACACGTATGCTTCCAAACATACAATACGGGGGCCGCTCATTGCGCTGACAGCGCAGGCCTGCTGAAGCCTGTACGTGAGCATTTTTTTTCTCGTGTCAGCTTTATAACCGCGTGTCTAAACGTACTCGGAGAAGTTCACGTACATAACCACAACATAGCTTTGCCCTCTGCCCAGGGTCTAATCGCCATGCAGAATTTAATTCAGCGCTTTTTCTTCGTTTACTCCTACTTTTGAACTAGCTAACTAACGTCCCATGAACATTGGGGGGGGGGGGGGGTGACGGAGAGTGGTCGAATATACGCTGCACATTTTGAAGTTCTATAAACAAATCAATAGGAAGGGTTGCCAACTTCGCTCTGCTTTTACAGCGCGGGTCGCCGAGCACAGTGCGTGGGTTCAAAACACCATTCCTCGCGAGGCACGCCTGAGCAACGCGCGCAGGGTTCCCATTTAGAGAAACAGAGGGGGGGGGGCTATAATTCGTCGTGTGCCTGCTTCTCTCTCTATCATGTCAACCTATGCAGCTGATCTTGCGCCCCCTCTCACTTGCCCCCTCCATATATTGTTACTTATGTGGCTGACTTCTGCCCCCCCTCCCCCTTGCGCACGTCTATTCGTGCGGCAGACTTACCTCGCATCTGCTCAGCTTTTTCGGTGGTGCGTCGAGCAGGAGGTTCTGCGTCGGAACGGCGTCACGCTTGAGGCGAGCGTTTATTGTTTGAAAACCGAGACTCCGAAGGACATTGAGGTTGGTTTCGTAGTCTTGCGGCAGAAAGTGGTCAGAACACACGAACTCACTCTCTGAGCCCAGACCAGCGGGGCCATCGCGGTTGATAGCTCGAAGCCACGCTGCTCTGCGCTGAGGCTCACTGGGCAGCTTGTGAAAGCGAACGTTGTTTGCACTTCCATAAGTAGTGCGGCACTGTCTGACGATGCACACGGTTGGCATAGCGAGGACCAAGCCAGCGCAAACACACAGTAAAACACAAGTTGGTGTAGTCAGTAAGAAAAAAAAACTGGGACGCTTCCTGACCGCACCGACCGAGCTAGCAAACGTAACCGAGCAAAGGCAACCGACGGAAACCATGGATGCACACGTGACAGCCCGGATGTAGTAGAAAGCAGAACCGAGAAGGTCACTCACTGTCATTGTACAGCTTAGAACTTAGAGCGCAAAAACAGCTCTGTTGTGTTTTCTTTTTTATTATCGAATAATTATATTACTTTAGAGCGAAGTAAAGCTATCGGTCTGTTTTTTTTTACTTTTCTTAAGATGACGTAACACTGACGTCACATTTTAGTGCTTATAGCGACTGACGGTCGCGCATAGTCGCTAGCGATCCCCAAAAAATTGCGATTTCAAACGGGCGTCATTAGT